CAGGGAAGCGGTTGAGTCTCCAACCCTGGAGGTATTTAAAAGACATGTAGATGTGATGCTTAGGGACATGGTTTAGTGGTGGACGTGGCAGTGCTAGGTTAGTGGTTGGACGTGATGATCTTAAAGGTCTTTTCCAACCTAAACAATTCTATAACTCTATGACTACTTTCCATATTTATTCCAAACACTTAAGTTTACATCCCCTTTTTTCCAATATTTAATTTGGTAGATGCGGAAAAGGGCTGCTTCCAGAACAGAATGGACCAAACAAATGTTGAAATAAATGTTATAAGGAATTATTATTTGATATAAAAATATTCACATTAACATCAGAGATTAAATACCATGGGTTTAATTATTTGTCTTGGAAAAGACATAGAAATAGTTTGCTCTGAAACACTCTATATCCAAAAGATATCATGAAGTCTTTAAAAATACGAATTAGAAGTTTGGAATAACAATTATGCAACTTCTTATCCATGATGTACAGTTAGACTAATGCACTGGTAATTGCCATAGCAACCATTAACACACATTAACATACTGGCAATTAGCTGATAACAATGTATGATAATGAAATATAGTATAAGTGGTTTTAAAAATGTCTAAGCACAAAATTGAAGTGAGCAAAAAAAAGCATAAAGAAATCATAAGTATTAAACTTGATTTTACAGATTTTTTTTTTTCTTGCGTCTAATTTTATTTAATATTGTGACCTCTTTCACCCATTCAAGACTTTGGCTACTTCTTTAAATATGAATATGAAGGGATTTTTCCTTTAATAATTTTGTTCTTTTTTTTTTCCTATGGTATGTCTATCTAAATTTTTAATGTTTTACTTATTGCTGAATTCAGAACTGCTATTATTATACTCGTCATAAGTTTTTGTACTAATGATCTTCTGCACCTCTGTGGTTTAAGTGTAGTTAATCAAGAGAACGATCCTGTACAGTGACTGAGCTTTGCACAGTCACAATCAAGTCAAAAAGAAAATTGTGTGGTCGTTTTTATTGAGTACATTTGCAATTTGTACACAGACAATTCTTCCTATTCACTATGGTAAACTTATTGTTTTATACTGTAGACTGTTAAAAGAAGGAAAACTCAACCTAAGTTTTTAATTTTTTGCCAGAATTTTCCAGGTTTGACAGTCTAATGCTTCATCAGAAGACTGTGTTTTGTATAGAGTTTGCCTGGCAACTACTTGTTCACCTAGTCCTTTGAAAGAAAAAGAAAAGCAGATCTCCTCCAGAAGACAAAAACCCCAAAACTTAAGCTTGTTGACAAGATTCTGTTTCAGATCGTTTGAGCTGGGTAGCAGACGTGAAATTTATATAATTCTTTGGGTTTTGAAATCAGAACCTATCGTACCACAGAAAAAAAAAAAAGCCTATATATTTTATTACAGAACTTTGTCTTCCTTTAATGTAACACAAACATTACATTAGTCATTTAGAACTTAATTTGGAGTTACTTAAGTAAAAGAAAGCATTGCAACCATGAAAAGTTGGAATGCTTGGCAGAACATGCCCTGACTATAAATGGAAGGAAGTAATGATAAATAATGTTAAACTTGACTGATGTAACACTGACCTTAAAAAGTCAGTATTACTTTATAGAGTGTACACTACAGATTTTGCTATATACAGCAAATGATAGACAAAGAATTATTTGAATCAGCACACATAGTTATTTGTAGACTATGAATGGATTTGAAATAGGCAATAATTGGTCAACAATGGCACTAACTGAATATAGCTCTTAAAAGTAACAGAAGAGAACTACCAAAAAAATACCTGAACACACACCCCCCAACAAATATCAACAAGCCTTTTAAAATTTCCATTACAGGTAATGAACCCTGCTGCAAAATAGTTCACAGAGGAAACACACTGGGACCTGAGAGGTGCAGAACTGCATTCATTCTTTCAGTGAGTATGTGATACGTAGGTAACTGATCTAGCACACTGGACCTAGCAACTGGTCTTGCAACTTGCATAGGCAGATGTCATGTAAGAGTAAGAACGAAACAAGAGGAGTGTCCGTACTGTCTACAGCAGCAAGGAAAACCATAGTCAAATTCTATAAGCAGCCCTAAAAGATAAAGCTATTAAGAGATCGCGTGTGTAATAAAGTTGTACTCTTCAGAAGTTATTCAGTAACAAAAAAGAAAGCCTCATATAAAGCTCTAAAAGAGATCTGAAATGATAAAGAATAATATAGTTTTCAGAGCTATAAATGTGATACCGCAAACCTGTGCACTCCTGGGCCTTCCCAAAGCTCTGAGAAGTTCAGGAACAGCACAGATCACTAGACTAAAAGGAACAAAAAGACACCAGAAACATACATAAATAAGTGCCTATCAAAAAAAGTCAGGAAAAGACTGAAAAATGAAAACACAGACTAGAAAGAATACAGGAAAGACATTATAATAATTTAATGGGATCATAAGTTTTGTGATTTAAAGTGTTAGAGGTGTACAGATACATATTCTGTGTGGTACTGAAATGATTTTGTTCTCATAACCAAGGCTGTTAAATGACACAAAGCAAATATATTTCAGCACATACTCAGTGAGACAGATGTGCTGCTGTTTTCCTAGCTTCATTTGCACCATTAGAAAACACTCCTTCCACAGCTGTGAATTGATTCTGCTTGCTGCCATGTCTGTGGATCTTGCACTTCCACAAAGACTTCTGAGCAACCGCCACAACAAATGCTACTGCTGAGCTTGCCAGCAATGCTGTCAGCAACCCAGCTCA